GCGCGCGCCCAAACTCCTCGCGGGCTGCCTGTGGGCACCTGTGCGCGTTCTGCACGCCTGATACGGAAGTGGGGACCAGCGCCAGCAAATCTAGTGAGAGCGAAGGGCTAAAATGCGAAGGGTGCGGATCGACCCTTGATGCGCACGAATGGGCGAAGGGATGGTGTGCAGGTGTTGGATGGGACGTGCGGCAGACGGGGCGCAAGCGCGCATTGAGCGCAGGCCGCGACTCGTGGGGTGATGCGGGCGATGACTGTGACTGAATAGGAGTAGGAGTGTTGGGCGCAACGCACGGGACGCAGAAACACGGGGCCAACAGGACTGAGGCAGGCAGCATGCGCAACAAGCGCGCGATGGGTGAGGACGCGCCAATCGGCGCGAGAGCTGTAGGCGAGCGCGATAGAGCGTGCGTGGGAAGCCAACGCCTAGGAGTCCTAGGCGGGGCAGGAGTAGGCGACGCACGCGAGGGGGCGCATGCGCAAGATGAAGGCGGCGCAGGCTGGGGCGCGCGACAACACGCGCGTGCAACGCAGACGCACAAGAAGCCACGCCCGACGAGGACTATGCCTCGTGGGCGGCGCGCAAAGGGAGGCAGCCGAAGGGATTTTGAGGAGGGTAGGGATTTGGGCGCATGACTTAGAGCTCAAGACATTGGATTGGAGTGCAAGTCAAGCAAGAATAAATTTAGTAGTATTAGGATTTTATTTCCTTGTTGCTTTTAATTAATAATTTAGGAGATCTAGTTTGGTTAGGCTTAGATTTAATTTATGCACCTATAAATACTAATGTACCTCTTAATTATTGAACATGTTGAGAATTGATGAGTGAAAAGAAAAGGGGAACATTTTGTTATACGTGTGTATAAGCAAGGCCGTAGTGCGTGTTTATCATACTATCGTGTCGGAGAGAAGGCCATTAGAGCATCATGAAGTCACAGTGTCTAAGAGAAGGCCCTGAGAGCGTCTGTTAGTTACACCTATCGTGTGTAGTCGAAGGCCCTGAGTGCGCGATTACTCACAACCGAATAGACAGAAACTACGCTCGCTCATCATTGGTGCTCTCGTTGAGAGGTGTTGATCAAAGTTTTTGTCTATCTTTTTTTTTTTTGGTTTTGCCTTTTGCTGAGGGGGCCAAATTTATCTTTGTTTTTGTTCGAATTTTTGGTTCGATTTTTCCTTTTTTTTTTGATTTTTTCGTGAGTTTGTCGAGAGTAAAAAAATAGTGTCATTCTAGTTGTTTTGATTTTATTTTTTAGTGTCTTAAAAAAAAGAGAGTGTTTATGATGTCAAACCGTGAAGAATCCAAGCATTGGAAGAAAGTTTGAAAATCGTTGGAGAAAGCCAACATGTTACCAACGAGAACTTGGGAAGGATCGAGCTTATGGTCCATGATCTGGCCGGACAGCTCGCGCGCATGACGCACCGACCAAGACGTAGTCGCGAGGCACGATCTACCACGGCATCGAGCAGCACAGGGACCGAGCATGAGGACAATCGGCGATCGCAGGCATCGCACCACACACGCACAATGCACGCATCACGAGCGCACGACGAGCGGCGCTATTACCGCGAGGACCGAAGACGCGACGATCGACGGCACAGGAAACGTGCACGATGTCATGACCACGACGAGCACTACCCTGATGAACGGCACGAAGAACGGGCGTATACACGACCAGAGATCATCATGCCCACATTTACGGGAGTAGATCCGGATGCATGGTTGAGTCAGGGAACGCAGTATTTCTAGATCAACGATGTGCCAAGGTATGAGAGAGTTCAATTTGCTGCTTATCATCTTGATGGAGAAGCAAACGTATGGTGGCAATGGATCTTGCACAAACATCATGGCGAGCACATGCGTTGGAGGGACTTTGAGAGGGAGCTCATTACAAGGCTTGGTTCTAGTGATTACTAAGATTATGATGAAGCTCTATCTCGAATTAAGCAAACTAGTAGTCTACGCGACTATCAAAAGGAGTTTGAGAGGATTGCAAGCCGGGTACGTGATTGGCCCGAGAGTGCACTTGTTGGTGCATTTGTTGGAGGCCTGATGGCCGATTTAGCTGCAGAGGTACAGATGGATATGCCGAGATCAATGTGAGCAGCCATGGAGTCGGCGAGGTTGCACGAAGATCATCTCGTAGCAGTACGCAAGGCGAGACCGAGCGATGTGCGCTTGGAGCCTAGGTGCACGCAAGCCGCGACTGAGGAGCAGGTGCCACGGGCCGAGAGCAAGCCTATGGGAGAGGTGGTGCGAACAACGAGCACTGCACGACGGCTTACGGACGAGGAGATGTAGTGGAGAAGGAAAAAAGGCTTATGCTACACGTGCAACGAAAAATTCATGCCAGGCTACAAGTGAAAGGTAAGGAAGTATTTTTGTTGAAATTTAAGGAGAATGTGTTGGTGAGGAGGATAAGCCACATGAGGAATCTTTGTTGCATGTGGTTAAGTGCAAAAAGCGTGGTCCTAAGATGATTAGGTTCACTGCTGAGATAAAGATTTGTTGCTAGAAGTATTGGTGGATAGTGGATCGTGTCTGAATTTCATTGACGAAGGAATAGCCAGGAGATTGAAGTTGGAACCCACCAAAGTTAAGAGGTTTGGGGTCAAGGTGGCCAATGGGCATGAACTAAAAGGTAATCAATTGTTTAAGAAGGTTCAGATTACGGCCCAAGATCAGGAGTTAGAAATTGATCTCTACGCCTTATCACTTAAGGCGATTGATATCGTGTTGGGGGTACAATGGCTGGAAACGCTTGGGCCCATTACGATTGACTATAGACGAGGGAAGATAGAGTTTGGTCGACCAGGAAGGCGCATTAAGTTGAGAACTGAGGATCAAGGCGACTCTCCTATTGAAGAGGACGACAGTGATGTGGATGTGCTGAACTATCTTATCCTTGGGGACAAAGAAAGTCTTGAAGAGGAGGGGAATGATACGGAAGTGGGGACCAGTGCCGGCAAATCTAGTGAGAGCGAAAGGATAAAATGCGAAGGGTGCGCATCGACCCTTGATGCGCACGAATGGGAGAAGGGCTGGTTTGCAGGTGTTCGATGGGACGCACGACAGACGGGGTGCAAGCACGCATTCAGCGAGGGCCGCGTTGCGTGGGGCGCCGCGGGAGATGACTGCGACCGAATAGGAGTAGGAGTGCTGGGCGCAACACGCAGGACGCAGAAACATGGTGCGAGCAGGACTGAGGCAGGCGGCGTGCGCAACAAGCGCGCGATGGGTGAGGACGCGCCAATCGGCGCGAGAGACATAGGCGAGCGCGATAGCACACGCGTGGGAAGTCAACGCCCAGGAGTCCTAGGCGGGGTAGGAGTAGCCGACGCACGCGAGGGGGCGCACGCGCAAGATGAAGGCCGCGCAGGCTGGGGCGCGCGACAACACGCGCGTGCGATGCAGGCGCACAAGAAGCCATGCCCGACGAGGACTATGCCTCGCTGGCGGCGCGCAAAGGGAGGCAGCCGAAGGGATTTTAAGGCGGCTAGGGATTTGGGCGCATGACTTGGAGCTCAAGACATTGGATTGGAGTGCAAGTCAAGCAAGAATAAATTTAGTAGTATTAGGATTTTATTTCATTGTTGCTTTTAATTAATAATTTAGGAGATCTAGTTTGGTTAGGCTTAGAAATTTATGCACCTATAAATACTAATGTACCTCTTCATTATTGAACATGTTGAGAATTGATGAGTGAAAAGAAAAGGGGAAAATTGTGTTATACGCGTGTATAAGCAAGGCCGCAGTGCGTGTTTATCATACTATCGTGTCGGAGAGAAGGCCATTAGAGCGTCTTGAAGTCACAGTGTCTAAGAGAAGGCCCTGAGAGCGTCTGTTAGTTACACCTATTGTGTGTAGTTGAAGGCCCTGAGTGCGCGATTACTCACAACCGAATAGACAGAAACTGCGCTCGCTCATCATTGGTGCTCTCGTTGAGAGGTGTTGATCAAAGTTTTCGTCTATCTTTTTTTTTTGGTTTTGCCTTTTGCTGAGGGGGCCGAATTTATCTTTCTTTTTGTTCGAACTTTTGGTTCGATTTTTCCTTCTTTTTTTGATTTTTTCGTGAGTTTGTCGAGAATAAAAAAAAAGTGTCATCCTAGTTGTTTTGATTTTATTTTTTAGAGTCTTAAAAAAAAGAGAGTGTTTATGATGTCAAACCGTGAAAGAATCCAAGCATTGGAAGAAAGTTTGAAAACCGTTGGAGAAAGCCAACATGTTACCAACGAGAACTTGGGAAGGATCGAGCTTATGGTCCATGATCTGGCCGGACAGCTGGCGCGCATGACGCACCGACCAAGACGTAGTCGCGAGGCACGGTCTACCACGACATCGAGCAGCATAGGGACCAAGCATGAGGACAATCGGCGATCGCAGGCGTCGCACCATACACGCACAATGCATGCATCGTGAGCGCACGACGACCGACGCTATTACCGCGAGGACCGAAGACGCGACGATCGATGGCACAGGGAACGTGCACGACGTCATGACCACGACGAGCATTATCGCGATGAACGGCACGAAGAACGGGCGTATACACGACCAGAGATCATCATGCCCACATTTACGGGAGTAGATTTGGAGGCATGGTTGAGTCAGGCAACGCAGTATTTCTAGATCAACGATGTGCCAAGGTATGAGAGAGTTCAATTTGCTGCTTATCATCTTGATGGAGAAGAAAACGTATGGTGGCAATGGATCTTGCACAAAAATCATGGCGAGCACATGCGTTGGAGGGACTTTGAGAGGGAGCTCATTACAAGGCTTGGTTCTAGTGATTACTAAGATTATGATGAAGCTCTATCTCGAATTAAGCAAACTGGTAGTCTACGCGACTATCAAAAGGAGTTTGATAGGATTGCAAGCCGGGTACGTGATTGGCCCGAGAGTGCACTTGTTGGTGCATTTGTTGGAGGCCTGACGGCCGAGTTAGCTGCGGAGGTACGGATGGATAGGCCGAGATCAATGTGAGCAGCCATGGAGTCGGCGAGGTTTCACGGAGATCATCTCGTAGCAGTACGCAAGGCGAGACCGAGCGATATGCGCTTGGAGCCTAGGTGCACGCAAGCCGTGACTGAGGAGCAGGTGCCACGGGCCGAGAACAAACCGATGGGAGAGGTGGTGCGAACAACGAGCAGTGCACGACGGCTTACGGACGAGGAGATGCAGCGGAGAAGGGAAAAAGGCCTACGCTACACGTGCAACGAAAAATTCATGCCAGGCTACAAGTGAAATGTAAGGAAGTATTTTTGTCAGAATTTAAGGAGAAATGTGTTGGCGAGGAGGATAAACCACATGAGGAATCTTTGTTGCATGTGGTTAAGTGCAAAAAGCATGGTCCTAAGATGATTAGGTTCACTGCTGAGATAAAGATTTGTTGCTAGAAGTATTGGTGGATAGTGGATCGAGTCTGAATTTCATTGACGAACGAATAGCCTGGAGATTGAAGTTGGAACCCACCAAAGTTAAGAGGTTTGGGGTCAAGGTGGCCAATGGGCATGAACTACAAGGTAATCAATTGATTAAGAAGGTTCCAATTACGGCCCAGGATCAGGAATTAGAAATTGATCTCTACGCCTTACCACTTAAGGCGACTGATATCGTGTTGGGGGTACAATGGCTGGAAACGCTTGGGCCCATTACGACTGACTATAGGCGAGGGAAGATAGAGTTTGGTCGACCAGGAAGGCGCATTAAGTTGAGAACTGAGGATCAAGGCGACTCTCCTATTGAAGAGGACAACAGTGATGTGGATGTGCTGAACTATCTTATCCTTGGGGACAAACAAAGTCTTGAAGAGGAGGGGAATGATACGGTAGTGGGGACCAGCGCCGACAAATCTAGTGAGAGCGAAGGGATAAAATGCGAAGGGTGCGCATCGACCCTTGATGCACACGAATGGGCGAAGGGCTGGTGTGCAGGTGTTGGATGGGACTCACGACAGACGGGGCGCAAGTGCGCATTCAGCGTGGGCCGCGACGCGGGCTGCGAACGAATAGGAGTAGGAGTGCTGGGCGCAACGTGCAGGACGCAGAAACATGGTGCGAACAGGACTGAGGCAGGCGGCGTGCGCATCATGCGCGCGATGGGTGAGGACGCGCCAATCGGCGCGAGAGCAGTAGACGAGAGCGATAGCGCGAGCGTAGGAAGCTAACGCCCAGGAGTCCTAGACGGAGCAGGAGTAGGCGACGCACGCGCAAGATGAAGGCGGCCCAGGCTGGGGCGTGCGACAACGCGCGCGTGCGACGCAGGCGCACAAGAAGCTGTGTCCGACGAGGACTAGACCTCGCGGGCGGCGCGCAAAGGGAGGCAGCCGAAGTGATTTTGAGGCGGCTAAGGATTTGGGCGCATGACTTGGATCTCAAGACATTGGATGGGAGTGTAAGTCAAGCAAGAATAAATTTAGTTGTATTAGGATTTTAATTCATTGTTGCTTTTAATTAATAATTTAGGAGATCTAGTTTGGTTAGGCTTAGATTTAATTTATACACCTATAAATACCCATGTACCTCTTCATTATTGAACATGTTGAGAATTGATGAGTGAACAGAAAAGAGGAACATTGTGTTCTACGTGTGTATAAGCAAGGTCGTAGTGCGTGTTTATCATACTATCGTGTCGGAGAGAAGGCCATTAGAGCGTCTTGAAGTCACAGTGTCTAAGAGAAGGCCCTGAGAGCGTCTGTTAGTCACACCTACCGTGTGTAGTCGAAGGCCCTGAGTGCGCGATTACTCACAGCGAATAGACAAAAATCGCGATCGCTCATTAGCACCCATGTGCATGCATAGTGCCCGTTGGGCACCCGACTAGCATGCCTTCCATTCCTTTTGGCCACCTGGTATTTTAGCCACCCCAACCAGGTTTCACTTCTTTGATAAGCATCCCGAAACCATCGACGGCACGTCCTTTTGATTTGTGGCCTCACCCGCGGTCGTCTATGCCAATGCGCGTGTTCGCGCCCTTCTTGAATGCACCCTTTCTTTCGTGTGAGCATTGCTAGCCTCGAGACCACCTTCTCGTGTGTCCTTGCGCATACCCGTTCCTTCACACAAGACATCCATTGACTACCTCGTGTTCGTGTGGACTCGTGCCGTTTCTCATGTGCTTGAGTGCCCCGCATACGAGCTCGTACCCGTCTTTTAGGTCATGCATGCGTCGTTTTGACCCTATTTTTAGCCTCCTCGGGTCCTCTCAGCTCTTGGCCCTACTTGTCGTAGGGGTCCGAAACCCATTTCCGCATCATTCCCGCCCCCTTTGAGAATGTCCTTGTCCTCAAGGACTCATCCTCGACCATCCAAACCTCGGGCAATCTTTCTTCGATCTCGACCACCACCAGTTGAAACGTTGCCTCCTCTGCATCCGCATGGTCCTTCTTATACGTATTGTCATAGCTCTTGTCGAGTATGACCAGTATCTCCTCCTTGACTTTCACCACTTTGGCCCCTTTGAACATCATGTACGACTCCTTCTCACGGGCCACGTCCAAGACCTTCGCTACCTTGGCTTCTTTGACGTCTATGCGTGTATCATTGGGTTCATCATCGAGCATAGGTGGGACCATCTGCTCCTTACGCTTGGCCTCGTGTGATTCTCGGAGCTTCTCTTTGGCCTCCGCTTGTTGCCTCTCCTCAAACTCCATTCGCTCGTGAAGCTCCTCCAAATATTCTTGCTCCCACGGGGTTAATTCTCTTCCCAACGCCTCCAACATTACAAGATCTTCCCAATCCAATTCATCCAATGGCAAGAAGAACATTTTTTTATACTAGACTCACGAAAAAAAAAAGAACAAAAAATTCGAACCAAAAATTCAAAAATAGAAGAAAAATTCGGCCCCTCAGCAAAAGGGAAACCGAAAAAATAATAAGATAGATAGACAAAAACTTTGATCGGACACTCTCAATGAAAGCACCAATGATGACGAATCGCGGTTCTTGTCTATTTGGTGTGAATAATCGCGCACTCAGGGCCTTCGACTAGACACGATAGGTGTGACTAATAGACGCACTCAGTGCCTTCTCTTAGACACGATTTGTCTGATAAACATGCACTACGGCCTTGCTTAAACACACGATAGAACACAATGTTCCCCTTTCTATTCACTCATTAATTATGGACTCATGAAAACAATGGGGGAAGACCCCTATTTATAGATCCTAACTATGTCTAATCCTAATCTACCTAGGGAACTAATTAAGAATCAAAATATTAAATAACCTCAACATATTAGATATTCTAAAGCAATAAGGAAAGTAAATATACTAGGGATATTGTGCCTTGACTTGCACTCCA